CGTGTTGTGTCAGAACTGAATATTAGATTCTAGTCACTATTTGATTGATCTTTTAAGCAATTCTGGGATTCTGTCACTTAAAAACCAATAAATCTTTGAAGGCCGGGGGAAAGCAATGCAAAAGCAATAAATCTCCATTGTGGAGGATTAGAAAAATAGGCCAAGCTGCGAGGTGGTTTGGAAGGGGATGTGAGGGTGTGGGAGCTGCCCACCGCACTGTCCTGCACAGTAAGGCCTACCAGACACAGTCAGACCCAGGGAACTTGGAAGGGGCAGCAAGCAGCAGGGTAGGGCCTGCATTTCAGCTTTGCAAGGGGCCTGGCATCACTAGCAGGAGAGAAGACAGCCTAGCTGGGTGGGGCCTAGAGGCTGCGGCTCAGATGTGACTTTGGGAAAGGTTCTACAAGTTAGATGATCCCTGAGAACTTGCCCTGCCCAGCCCAGCACCTACCACCTAATTAGCAGAGGTTCACCTTAGAGCATCCTCGCTTGAAACATCAAGACTGGGAAGCGCATGGTTTCTTGGGGAGAAATGAACTCAGAGGAAGGGAATTAGGTCCATGATGAACAACTGGACTTCTGAGCCCCGCAACCTTGGACCAGCCACTGAGCAACTTCAACTTCAGTTTCCTCCTCTGAAGTTGAGATGTTATTTCCCAATCAGCTTGCTCACCAGGCAAGAGAGGATTAGATGGTAGAGTGTGAGGAAAGGAATTGTCGATTGTAAGTTCTAATCCAGGGAACTATCAATGGTAAATTAGGGTTCAGGGCTCCTGGACCCAGCGTATGTAGTGAGCTCTGGGGGTCTTGGGTTATAGACAGCCCAAGCTGCTGTCTCCCCAGTCTGCAGGACTCCCCAGTGGTCCTCTTTCCTCAGTGGTTCTCCTCTCTTGGGCCAGTCTCCTGCCCCTCTCAGCACAGTCACTGTCGCCAACAGCTTCCTATGTCTATTCATCATCTTGTCTGCTTACCCGCTTAGTGTCCCGCCTCCTCACCTGACTCACAGACACATTTACTGGATAATAAGCCTCAAGAAGGCAGGCATGTGTCTGTCTTGTTTCCTGCTGTCTCCCCAGTTGCTTGGTTTACTTCCCTGGACATAACAAGTGGTTGAATGACATAATGATCAATTGCCTCCCATATGCACATCCTAGTGCCTGGCATTCCAGGTGGAAAAAAGGCCAAAGTAACTCAAACGTACTGCAGTATTTCCACTTCTGTCACTGCAGTTGTCCTGAAAGTCTTGCTGGGTGACATTGGGGAGTCTCTTTCCTCTTCCTGGCAAATGCCCCAGCAATGGTCTGAACTTAATTCCAGAAAGTGGTATATGTCCACCCTCAGTGATCCAGACCCTTGGGAAGAAAAGCCACCAGACATTTCCAGACACCAACCATTTCCCCTTTGAGCAGTGACATTTAATTTTTTTGGATAGAAATGTCACCAAAACATATCAGGCAAACCTATCTCCTAGGGAGGTACACTGGTACACTGAAATGAACGTGGACTTGGGGTCAGCTCCACTGTTAAATTCTGAATGTACCATTTGTTTGCTTCGTGACCTGGGCAAACTCACTTAGCTTCTGTTTATCTCAATATCCATGTCTGAAAAACAGAGACTATTATCAGAATTTGTGAGGACAGAGATAGTGCTATGTACAGTGACAGGCACATGGCAAATGCTTGCTCACTAGGTGGAAGTTCTCAGGCTTCTTCAGCTGAAGACTTTGGTAGAGCAGGAGCAAGTCATGACCAGGCATAGTTGTGGGGGCTGCAGTTTGCAGACGCCTTGAATTCTTCGTCCCTGTGTGTGTTGTGTGGAGTTGCCCCACCTCTTTGCTCCCTGCCAATGTAATTTCTCATCGCTGTTGGGGGTACTTTCAACCCTTTCCCTCTCCTGAAATGCACTGAAGTCTGCAACAGATCTGCAAGCTAAGAGGACGTAGGCTCAGAGGGAAAGTGTGAGAGCATCTGTTTCTGGAAACTGGGACAGCTTTCCCGCTCACTTCACTCTGGGCTTATTAGAAGGCCCCTTTTCTGGGGGCAAAAGGTATTGGTCTCTAGGGCTATGCAGTCTTGAAAACTTACATAATACATTTAGCTTCTGCGAAAGTGGCTGGTAATACTACTCAGACAGAGGGAACTGAATCTCAGAGATACAGCATCTTGACCAAGGTCACGCAGCGAGCTCTTAATCCAGGTTCACTGCTACCAACCCCACATTGCGTCCACGCCCCCTCTCCTTCCTCTCTGTCCCCCAGCCAAAGGCCTGTGGGGGAACTGAACTAAATCGTAAGCCTTTGCAAGCACACAGTGGGATGCCAGCGCACTGAGTCCCTGTCTTGATACTTTCATAGGCTTGCATCCTTGGAACAGGGCCTTCGGGTCAGATCTGGGCTGTGCTCTGGGTCAGCTGTACAACCTTGGGTAATCTTCTTTCCTTCTTTGAGATATTCTTTTGCCATCTGGGAAGCTTTTGATATTTTCAAACAGCCACTAATGCTATTGTGTAAAAGAAGAGAGAACTATGAAAGGGAGGAAGGCCGGGTGGCCATAATGGAATTCAGGATTTGACAAGTCGAAGACCTGAATTCAAACCTGCGTCTCCTACTTATCTCTCTGTGCACGCTGAGGGCATCCCTGCCTCTCAGTTTCTTCATTTGAAAATGTGAATTGTATCTCACAGGTATAGAGAAAATTGACAATGTTACATCAGTGTAACTGGAAGAAAAGCAGGGGATGAATAATGTGATTTGACTTAAGGGCCACCATCTGTTTTGGCTTAATACAGGTAGGCAGCCCTGGAACGACCAACACACAGACTACAAGACAAAAGCTCAGTGGTCAGATGCTCCACGGGCATTATCTACATCTGTCACAGGGCCTGAAGCCTCACCTGGCTTAGTGGGGAGCACTGCCCACAATCCTGAGATGAGAGAGGAATTTTCAAGTTGATTGAGGCTGATTCTATCTGCTCTATCATCTCCAGTTGCCGGGTAGAATGAAGCTCTGGCCATCTCAAAAGCCTTTTCCCGGGCTGGCATCCTGGCCTCCAGTGGCACTCTCCAGAGGCTCCTCCCGGTCTTTCAGTGCCGCCTGGCATCCGAAACGCGCCTCCTGTTCTTATGCCACAACACCTCTCTTGGGCTTCATGTTAAGGCACTGGGGCACAGTGGTTAAGTTGCTTTAACGACTGGCATGGTGTATCGGAGAGCCAGCTGATCCACTTCTGATTCAGCTCCCTTCTAAGGTGCCTGGGAAAGCAGAAGAAGATGACCCAAGTACTTGGGTCCCTGATATCTATGTGGGAGACCTGGATGGAGTTCTAGGCTCCTGGCTTTGGCTTGGTACAGGCCTGGCCATTGCAGCCATTTGTGGAGTGAACCTGAAGATGCAAGATCTCTTTTTTTTCCTCCTCTTTCTTGGTTATTCTGCCTTTCAAATAAATAAATAAATAAATTTAAATAAGGCAAACAACTCATGGTTTCTCCCATTCTAGCTGCTTGTCTCCTCCTTGTGATTCCTGTGCTGGGCATTCTTGAAACTTCGACAGAATCTTTTTTAAAACATTTATTTATTTGAAAGGTAGACAGAGATTTTTCCATCCATTGGTTCACTTCCTAAATGCCTACAACAGCTGGACCTGGCTCAAGCTGAAGGCAGGAGCCCAGAATTCAATCTGGGTCTCCCACATGCATGGCAGGGACCCAACTACTTGAGCCATTACCTGATGCCTTCCAGGGTACACACTGGCAAGAATCTAAAGTCAGAAGAGCTGGGATGCAAACCCAGGCACTCTGATATGGGATGCAGGTGTCCCAAGTAGGATCTGAACCACTGTGCCACATGACCACCCATCAACAAAATCTCACACGATATTTAAGACACAGTTCCGTGTCACTTCCTCAGAGAACTCTTCCTCAACTCATGAGGACCTGTGCGTATCTCGACCAGGCTGCACTCTCTATGTTGTAACTGAACTATTATTTTACTATCTCAACTAGAGTTTGACTTTCTTTAGAACATGACTTATTCACGGTGCAGTCACTGTTATACTCCAAGCACTTAAACAGGACCTGAGACAGAGAAAGTGCTTGGTAAAAATGTGCGTTAAGTGCCACCCATGTGGGAGACCTGGACTGAGTTCTGGGCTCCCGGCTTTGGCTTCAGGCATTTGTGGAATAAATCAGCGGATGAAAGATCTTTGTCTTTCTCTCTCTGCCTTTCAAATAAAAACAAACAAAATGTGTGTTGAATGAATCATTCTTATCTGCCACGTTGTGTACACCTTTCCTAGCGTTCAAGGCATGCTTGTGGAACGGAACTGAACCAACTAGAAAGCTAATCCACCCAACACTGCTTCATTTCAAGGGACTACAGTCCTCTTCCCTAGAGTTCTGAGGAAAACAACAGTCAACATCGCTGCCCTTGTGCAAAGCATAGCTTGTTTGAAATAGATGCCCACACTTCTGACCCCTCAAGAACCGACAGCAGCCAGCTTGGCCACTGTGATGGCTCTGCTGTCCCGGGAATCAGCCCGCTCCTAAACTCCAGTGAGTTCTTGCTAACGTCATCAATGGAACCTTGACAGTAAGGGCCTTTGCAGAACTCTAAGGCACTGTGGCCCTAAAGTGAACCAGCCCCCAGATCTCCTCCCATTTGTAACCTCTGAATGGTTGCTTTGAGAATTCAGCAAGTCTGTCTAATCTGTTTGCTACCAGAAGCCAGTAAGGTGATCTTGCTGGGATGGCAGGTTGTGTGTCCAGGCCATGTGATCCACTAACTAAGTTCATATAACTATTTTCCAGAAAGTTCTCTCCCAGACCATCTCAGGCCTTCTGAATACCCCATTGTAGCGGGAGAGGATCCTGGCTCAGAAGTCCCCTCTCTTCCTATGGGGAAGTCTCGCTCCCAGCCAGCCCTGCCAATCACACGATTCAACCAGGAGAGCACAGAGTGCACAGAAGGACAACTGAAAACTCCAAATGAAGACGCCGCATCACCTGACAGGGGCTCCGCGGGACTGGGCCGGCTTCAGCATCACCGTGATGGTGGTGTCAGTTTCATTCAGTGGAGTGTCTGTGTCGTACTCGGGCATCGATGGAGCTGGGGAGGTGACAGAGAGTGAAGATGAGTTCAGAAACAGACAGCAAAAATGCTCCCCTCCACGCCCTCCTTAAAGACAGTGGAGGTGGCTGCAGACAGCGGACGAGCATCACACAGCCTCTGAGGCTGATGGCAAAGGAGGCTCTGGCTTCCAGGCGGCCCTAAATTCCTGCCAGGTGCACGAGTCTTGGAAATGGTGGCAGCGACGTGGCCAGTAACTGGCAAGAAACCAAACAGATTCCTGCAAGAAACAGAATTTCACAAAGACGTGGACACAGGGCCGACCTTGTCAGACACATTGAAAATGTGCATTCAAGCGATGATAAACCAGGCTCCCCTACTTTTCTGCTTCCTTGGGCCCCTCCCCACCAATACCCGACTGATAGGAGTGCAACTAAATCTAATACTTTGAAAAGGTAATTTAGTCATTTGTATTAAGAGCTATTAAACCCCACATGCCCTTTAATTTGGCTTTTCAATTTCTGAATTTAATCCTAAAGTCATAATCCAAGCTAACAGATTAAACTTTACTTTGTAACCTGTTTACTGAAGCGTTATTTTATGAAAAAAATGGAAGCACCAAATGTATCCAACCACAGGGGAATGTTTAATTAAATTATGTCCATCCACTTGACAGAACATTATAATGAAAATAATGTGGGAAACGCTTATGGGATAAGGATAAGTGGAAACATTAAGCTACAAACAAACTCCATGGCGTTTGCAAAACAATGTGCAAAGTATGTTTGTATGCAACCCAGAATTGCATGTATGAAATGAAAGTTGTAAAAATATCTGATATAATTCTGCTTTGGTGTGGTCTAGCAGTGGAGGGGACCTACTAGTAATGGCATTTGCAACCTGGGACCACCATGGCTAATGGACGTTCATACAGTCACTCATCAGACAATTCATGAGAACTTGTGTTGTGTTCTCCTACTGGCAAAAGGAATATTCCTGAAAATAAATTTACAAGTCAATTTGTAGGCAAGAAACAAGGGTACACCAAACATTCACGGAAAAATAGAATTAAAAATATGAGTTTATCTTAGTGCAAAATCTTTTTGAGATCCATGCATGGCTTTTTCATAAAATGCAATTTCCATGTATTTTGAAAATAAATGTGAGCCAAAATAATATGAAGTATGTGATTTAATTCAACCCTATAGCCATTACTTGGTGAAATACCACCTAATTCATGTTTTTTTTAGACTTTAGATAATTCATTGATTAAGTTTCCTTCATGAGACGACAAAGGTAACCTCCAAGGGACTGCACTGTCCTAACTCTCCCATACCACACAGTGACAGTTGCCTCTGCCTCTTCTCACTCCCAGGAAAACAGGAATGGGGGGAGGGGAGGGCTTTCTTCCTCTCCTTTTTATAAAAGAGATACCTGAAATTTTAGTGGCGATCCGAGTGGTAACTGGGGGCCCAAAGCCCTTGGCTGTGCTGGCCTTGATGGTGAAGGAGTAGGTGGTCCCCGGATACAGACCCACAAAGAGGTGGTGGGTTTCATTTCGGAGCTTGAACACCTTCCCCCTCTGGCTGGATAGATCCGCACTTGGGTCCAGTGAGCCAACAGCCTTGTAGTTGATCTGAATGACAAACCAGCAAATAAACAAGTGAGTGCTTTGCTCAGGAACCTGGAGCTCTTTGGAGGAACAACAGAGAGGCAAGTCAAGGGCACGTGAGCCCGGTCAGCAAGCTCTGCTCAGCTGCCTGCTCCTGTCCACTTCACCTGTGACCCCAGACTCTGAATGTCACGATGCTGGCTGACACACTGGAGCAGCCTTGTACAACAGGAGCAGACTGTGGTCACAGTAAAGGAATTGAAAAATATTTTTTTTTTTTGACAGGCAGAGTGGATAGTGAGAGAGAGAGAAAGGTCTTCCTTTTGCCATTGGTTCACCCTCCAATGGCCGCCACGGCTGGCACGCTGCGGCCGGCGCACCGCACTGATCCGAAGGCAGGAGCCAGTTGCTTCTCCTGGTCTCCCATGCGGGTGCAGGGCCCAAGCACTTGGGCCATCCTCCACTGCCCTCCCGGGCCACAGCAGAGAGCTGGACTGGAAGAGGGGCAACCAGGAAAGAATCCGGCGCCCCGACTGGGACTAGAACCCCGTGTGCCGGTGCCGCTAGGTGGAGGATTAGCCTAGTGAGCTGCGGCGCTGGCCGAAAAATATTTCAATAATATACCTTGTTGAACCCCATACATCCTTAACATCATGCCAATCTTATGATCAACACAAAACCATTTAATGAGAAAGTTTATATTCTGTTATTTATGTTAAGTCTTAGGAATCCGATTTTTTTCCCCTTACAGCACACCTCAATGTGGATTAGCCACATTTCAAAAGCGTGGCAGTCTGTAATGGCTGGTGGCCACCGTACTGGGCAGCACAGCCACAGTGCAGTATCCAAGAGCAGTGGTCCGATAAGAAGCATTCGAAGGCTTGGTAAAAGTGCAGACCCATATTCCACGGAACAGGGTTGATTGTCTGATGCTATCTAATGCTTAGACTTGTTTGTTTTCCCTAAAATCTTGGGAGAGTCAGGACATTTTGTTATTTTCACTTGAATGACGGATAAACTGAGACTCAACTGGAAGCAACAGGTATTTAAAAAAAAAAAAAACAGCACTTTTCAAACAATCTGTGGAGCACACCAAGTTTTGGGTCTTCCAATCCACTGAACACCCATTGTGATCTGAGCCCACTGCACCCGTGAGTCAGCCTGTGAGTCCGGGAATAACTGGCTGAGGTTCTCCACAATGATCCACACCACTGCCGACGGACATAGCAGTGTCCAGGTCTCATAAAAGTCGTGACGTGCCCGATCTCCATCTCTGTACTTACCCTGCCATGAAAGGGTACTTCTAACAGTGTGTGAAAAACCTTATTAAAGGTACGTTTGTTTACATTGGTCTCTGAATCACACAGCTGCAAACACAGGATTTCTTATTTATATTATCTAGGTCGTTCCATTAGAAAGCTTTCATTGAAGTATAAGATGCATACATAAAGGCACACAGCTCTATGATTATTTTCAAACTACACTCAAGACTTCGTCTTCCACAAGCTTCTAGTGCTCCCTGCTCACCCAACAAAGATGATCTGGTCTGACATCTAACTGCACGGACAAGTTCTATTTGGTTTTGAACTCTGCACAAAGCAACGCCTACAGTCTGTGCTCATTCGTGTGTGGCTTCTCTCCCTCATTACGGCAGTGAGAGCCGCATGCTGCTACGTGATCCGTCTGACTCCAAAGTCTGTGCTCGCTACTCTGCAACACCCTGCCAGGCCTGCAGAACAGTTCTCCAGTTGGAAAACATTCCTTTTTCCCATTGTTTACTACTGCAAACTCCTGTGTTCCCGGCACTGCACTGTGTGCCTCTTGGAGACCCCAGCTGAATACAGACCAGGCCCTGTCCTCAAGTGACTTGCACTCTAGAGAAATAAATCAGCTATTCTGATAGCTTACGTGACTTTATCCTCATACTTACAAGGATAACCAAACCCGGGTGAAAAAGGAACATTCTACTTTTACTTAAAAAATAAGCAACTTTGGGGCTGACGTTGTGGTACAGCAGGTTAAGCCACTGCCTGCAGCACCGGCATCTCATATGTGAGCTGCTTTGAGTCCAGGCTACTCCACTTCTGATCTACCTCCCCAAGTACTTGGGCCCCTGCCGCCCACGTGGGGGACCTGGATGGAGTTCCAGGCTCCTGCTTTGGCCTGGCCCAGCACTGGATGTCGTGGCCATTTGGGAAGTGAACCAGTAGATGGAAGATATCTGTGTGTGTTTGTGAGTGTGTGTGTGTGTGTGTGTGTCTCCTGCTTGCTCTATAACTCTAATTTTCAAATAAATAAAATAAATCTTTAAAAAACAAGCAATTAGCTGTTTCCGATAGTGGCAGCAAATATTTTGGAGAAAAAGGTGATCTCTCTCTCCCATATTAAGCAGTAATGGTCTATCGGTGGATGCCACAGCCTTGAGGACAGAAACCTAACTTTTCTGGAAGCAGTCTTCCCAGAAGGAGGGGCACAGAGAGCTGACGGACTCGGGTTGTTACAAGCAGAGGCCCAGAACGCACATCGTTATGCAGGTGAACATGAACACTGGCTTAAGACTCTCTGGAGCATCTCCTGTGTCCCCCTGCCCACCGAGCCCCTTGCAGAGGCAAGCATCTGCCCTCTGTGCGCCAGGGCTTTCTCCGCAGGTGCTCTCTGTGAGTGCTTGGTCATCAGCATCCCCAGAGACTCCTGGGCATTGATGCATAAACTTCCCAGGCCCTCTTCCCGTGATACCTCTACAGCAACCCGGGGTCCTCCACTTGCTGGCCAGAGCACACAGTGGCCACTGGCCGCCTGCTCTTCTCTTCCTCCCATGCCACCCCTTAACCAATGTTTCCTAAAACCTCCTAGTCTCTATCTGAATCCTTGTCTCAGGATCTGCTGCTGAGAAGTGCATAACCAAGACAAAGTGCCCAGGGAGGCGTCTCCACAGAGGATGGAACATGTCAGTGAGTGCAGATACAAGTCAGAGCAGAGCCAAGAGGCGAACAGGGAACTAGGAGGCCTGCAGTGCAAAAAGGCTGGGGCTGAGAAAAACCCAATGGGACCAGAGTAGCAAGTGGAGGGGAGGTTGGAGTCTGGCTTTCCCCAACAGCAGAAAAAGGCAGATGCTTACTGAGTTCTGCCTGTGGCCACCAATGCCAGCACACCAGCAGGGAAGACACACCCTTGCATTTTGCAAAAGCCTCCCCCATCTCCCTGCCTGGGCTGGTGGCAACCACACTGATATACAGACACTGGGAGGTAAAACTCATGCCTTATTTACTAGCCAATTCCTTTCCTGCGCTCCAAATTCAATCCAAAAGCGACTCAATTTCCACCGAGCTGTCAATATAATATACCGTGCTCCTCTGCTCTCCTAACCTTTCCTGGTATTACAGGATCCTCACTTACTTGTAATGAAACACTATGAATAAATCAATGTATGTTAATATAGCGTGTCTTCAATTTTTTATGAAGGGCTTCACCAAATCTAATTCCCACTGCTTTGTCAGAAACAGCCTTTGAAAAATTTAACTTGCAAGTTTTACAGAGTTAGTGGGGAATTGGGCTGGGGAGGGAAAGAAAAAAGGTGAGAAAAATGGAACGGGATGGAGCTGTGGCTGCAAATGCAGAATGCAAGATGAATCTTGGTGTGGAAGCAGAGGCAAGGGAAGAGCTGTTAGAGCCATGGACATAAAACCAAGGGTTAGCAGGGGAAAGGCTCCTGAGGCACACAGGCCAGGCCAGCCCAGGGCTCCAGGGCTCCAGGGCTGGGCTCTGACTGCAGGGCCCCTTCTCCTCTGGCTGCTAACAGTGAGATCCCCAGCCAGACACCAGAGCCAGCCCTTCTGAACAGAAATCCAATCACGTCATTAAAAACAAGGGCTTCACACAGGTCTCGGGAGTGAGTCCAATCTCAACCTGTGGGTCTTGTCAGCTGATTGCATGAGCAGGCCTCACCTGTGCTGACCCATCCATGGTGCTCCAAGCCTTAGGTGACACCTGAACAGAGCCACAGTCCCTTCCTCCCCAGGGCCTTTGCACCAGCTGCTCTGTCTGCTTCAGACTCTTCTTCCTTCCCATGCCTCTCTTCTGTCTTACTGACGACCCTCATCCATAGACTGTGCCTGACATGACATTTTTTTTTTTGCCTCCCAGGCCCTCCTATTCTGTGTTCCTAGAGCCACTTGTCTCCCTTTTTGCCACTAACTTTTCATCACGTCATCCAATTACGTCATCAATGAGTCCCTTCTCCAGTTTAGAAAACATGATCAGCGAGTGAAATCTAACCTACCATCTTGTTTTGGTAAGCCAAGTTTACTGGAACACAGCCATGCTGCCCATTCAGGTATTGTTGATGGCTGTGTTCAGGCAACAGCAGGATCAAGTGGTTGCGACAGAGACTCTGAGGCTGGAGCTGGCATTGTGATACAGCGGGTTAAGCCATCACTTGCCACACTGGCATCCCATATCAGAGTGCCAGTTCGAGTCCTGACTGCTCTGCTTCTGATCCAGCTCCTTGCCAGTGCACCTGGAATGGCAGCAGGAAATGGCCTCTAATATGGAAGACCAGGGTAGAGTTCCCGCTCCAGTCTGGCCCAGTGCTGGCTGTTTCGGTCATTAGGGGAGTGAACCAGCAGACGGAAGATCTCTCTCTCCCTCTTTCTCTGATACTCGGCCTTTTAAATAAATGAATAAATCTGAAAAAAAAATTAAATAGAAACCCTGAAGCCTAAGATATTTACTCTTAGCCATTACTGAAAACTTTTGCTGACTCCTTTGTCTGATTTTAAGCTCCAAGAAGACAAGGATCTTATCTGGTGTTTGCTCAGCGTCTCATCCTCTTGCATGCATAAATGATTCAATCAGCTGTATGGCTCGAGCAATCTGCTTAACTTCTCTGGGCCTCAGGTGCTTCCAGGGTGAAATACCAATTCTGATTTCAGTTTCTGTTTTATGTTACAGAATGGCTCCAGGAGTCAGGCTTCAGGGAGTCCATGAGAGATTCAAGTTTCTGCACCAAGACTCCAGCTGCTACA